CCACAACACGCAACTGCTGTCTCCTTGTGCTGACATTTTGTTGACACAGTTCCTAAATTTAGCAGGAATACACAAAGAGCTAGAGCATGACGTCCTCTGTTGTTAATGTGAACCAGTGTAAACACAAAACGAACAAATGCAGCCACGAAATGAAGTCAGCGTAGAGGAAAAGTAAAGGCAGGTATGTGCTCTTGTTCTATATCCTTTGAAGTTCTATAATGAAACTTAATTTCATACAAAGGATTTGAATAAAAATTCTAGAAATTAAAAAATATATATGGACAGATGGCCTTATAGCATTCTCTAGATCACAATACGATCTTTATGAATCTTAAGTCTCTCTTGTGAGTTCTGAACACTGCATAAAATAAAATTATCATCAAGATGATAATTACAAGAACTGTAGTCTGCCATGGGTACATATCCCATTCAACCTCTGGAGGTGACAGTTAATTTAATGCAATGCAAAGAGCCTACAGAGAAGAATTTGAAAATTGATAAAGAACAAACAAACTGTATCTCCGGTTTACAGTAACTAAACTAAAGCTGCTCCAGTGGGATTCTTGAACATGTCATAAAAACAGCAACTCTTAACAAGGCAATTAAACCCAAAGCCAGGCTAGACCACAAAGGTATTGTTCTCATACAGTCCCAATTGACCTCTGATGAATGGTTACACAATGAAAGTCTGTTTCTCTCTTGCATGAATAGTTTGAGACCACCAAAGTGTCATTATGATGCAGAAACACAGCAGCTGGTGAAGTGAAACACTCGTGCACTGGCTTCACAAGACACGTAGTCTACATCTGCATTTAGGTCTTTCTCTCCGACTCCATCCACAAATATTCTGAGCTGTTTATATATTGCATTATTCTCCCTCCTGACACAATATACCATAACATAAAAGTCTCATTAATTCAGTATTGTTTTAGCATTTGGTAATTCATCATTGCCAATATGATTAACCAAACTGTCACAGTCCCATATAGTCTCATTCATCAAACATTTGGGTGGAAATGCTACGTTTAACAGCAGTGCTGCCGTGGAATCTTGATGGGGGTGTTCTTGGGTTGCTATTGGTTATGTTGACAAACAGAAGCTGTCACAAATCCAGATCAGCTGTTTCTGCTTTTCTAAATATTTTCATACCAGGGATGTTTTGGTTTAACTTGCTTTTTTTTTTCAATTTCGTTCGTTCATACTTCAATTGTTTTGGCATAAACAGCTTTGAATGGCACTTGTTTATCTGTACAATGACCCTAATATTATAGCACCATAAATGATATGGCCTTAAAAGGTAAAAAAAAACGTTTTGTAATTTTTAAATAAGGAGATACTGCAAAAAAAATGAGATCAGTAGAACTGCTGATGAGGACAGTTATACAAATAACAACATTTAGTCAATCTTCATTTGGTAACCCTCTATAGAAGCCATATACATGAACTATACACAACGTCAGAAATGTTGTGTGACTGTTTATTCAGGTTTTGTGATTCATTGTTTATCTGATCCAAATCAGTTTATAACATTTATGCCCTCATCTGTGCTCTCATGTCAATCAAACTGGTACTGGATCCAAACAGTACGTTTCATAGAAAAATGCATACCCATGAAACTGTGGCTCATTTATTTTGCAATTTGACTGGTTGAACTGAGAAATGTGAGTTACTCAGAACGCTGGACAAACACTATATTCAAGCTGCAGGGAAGTGTGAACAAATTGCACAGCTAATTTATATATACACCATCTCAACCATAACAGGAAAATAAGTCAAAAGAAAAATAAGACTGAGAAATAACTTTTTTTGACACACATGCAGCACAGTCACTGTGTAACAAGCAGAAGCACACTGCCAGCCCGTGGCTACAACAAGCGACAGGGCTTATTTCAGAGTTGTCATGTAGCCAGCCACAAAGGAGGGCCTGGTGGGGGTGTGGGGGAGTGCACAGGAAAATGTGGAAGTTGCATAACCCTGGCTGAAAGTAACGGTGAAAAATAATCAGTGATCCCAAATCAGCTGATTTTAAATTACAGATTGTCATTGCTATTTATTTAGTAAGATAAATCTGAGGTTTACTCTCATATACACCGGTAGAGTCCTAATAAAGAACATAGGATAGATGGACTTTCTCCTGAGCTACAGTTAAACATAAAGTATCTTGTTGTGATTAAAAACAGCATGAACCTTCTTTGTGTGCTTCTGGTTAGATTTGCATTCAGATATAAACATATCTGATCTGGTTGATGAACAAACAAACACTTAAGCATTTTTTTTTTTTTTTTTACAAAAAAAGGACCTTAAAAAAAACATTATAAGGTTGTTTGATCATTACATTATTCCACATTTCTGCTGCTAGTAGATTTCAACAAACTGACAGAGAAAATGTTTTGTTCAATCAACTGGGTAAATATAGCGTGTAGTGGTGCCAATACGAGACAGTAAGACTGCCTCTTTTCCATATTTCTGTTTTGATTCTAAACATACAGTTCTGAGCTGTTTAAATTTGCAGTACTGAAAAGAAACATGAAAATAACCTTAGTAATTAATAACAAATATTCCTTTAATTCAGTAACTTTTATTTTTGCAAGTGTTATTTGCAATATGTAATATTATATAAACTAAAATAACTACAAAAAGGCTGATTAACTTTTGACCAAAGTGTTAGCTTAATTTAAGATATATTAAACAATTTTTTAAGTGCATATGCAGGACTTAGAGTATATTAGTGATCTATGTGGCCTGCTCTTCTAAACTATATGGCTATGTAACTTGAGAACATTAGATTTGTCACTGAATGAGTTACAGTATGTCACCAAGAGCGCTGCTTCATAGGGGTCCCAGCTCCCTTAAACACCTGAGGTACCTTAAAAGCTTCTGTCAGGCAACAAAACAGATATTACACTTTCCTGGTCAGATATGTATTTGGTTCTCTGGTGTAGGCTTTAATCTTTTTTCTCCTCTCCTTTTCTTTACAACTAATTCCATGACTTCTCAATTTATTTGTCTACCATATAAACAGATATGTTTTAAGGATTTCATTCCAATTCCATGTCTGTTTTTGCAACAACAACAAAAAAAGTAGTATTCTATTAACTCATTTCAGTTCAACATACCTCTGGGGGTATGTACTATTCACAAGAAATCAAAAAAAAAAAAAAATCATAAAGATTGTAATCAAGCTTTGGAGCATAACAAAGAAAAGAACAAATATTGAAACAATGTTACTACTGTATTCAATTCAATTCACTTTATTTATATAGTGCCAATTAGGGGTGTAAATAATAATCGTTTTGTATCGATGCATCGATCCAAAAGCCGACGATCAGATGCATCGACACGTCCGCAAGATAATCGATTCATGTTTTTTTTTCCTCCGGTCTATTTTTATCCATTTGCTCCTGGGCGTAATTCTCCCTCCCGTGCTGCGGTGCCGCTAAACCTATTTTGCCCTCCTACCGCGCTTCCTGGTTATACTCTTACAGCAGTGTGTTGCAGTAAGCTTGACACAGACATTTTTAAATTATGCTCAGTATTGAAGCGTGGTCTGTGCTACACACTGTGGGTCTAGATACGGCCGAGGCGGTGAGGAAGTGTGGACGAGTTTAGTCCGACGACGGAGGGACATGAGAGCCAAAAAGAGCGGAGATCCAGCTGGAAAAAGGGTCCCAGCGTTCTCGCGCACCTCGCTCTTCTAGCGGGTCAAACTTCACGAGTTGCTTTCCGCAATTTCGGTCATAAAAACAAAACAAGCCGGCCTCCTGTCTGCTGCACTGTTTGCGGTCAGCTACAATCTGGGAGAGGTGCAGCGGAGCGTCTCTCAAGGGGGCGGTGACGTCGACACACTGGAGCCTTCTTCTTCTTCTTTTTTTTTAATGGCGGTTGGCAAACAACTTATAGGTGCATTACTGCCCCCTTCCAGAATGGAGTATGGACCAGACAAACTATTATATTCTCCCTAAAATACCCGTTCTTCTTAGAAAATTAAAAATACTCCCAAAAACTACATCCCCAGATTACCTTTGAAACAATTCCCTTATATGTAGTTTATTTTTATTCCTGTCTAACTCTCTTCACAACATCTCTCTTTCCTGAGTATATTTATTACATTCTAAAAAAAATATGTTGGACAGTTTCTTTGGAGCCGAGGTATTGCATCGAACTCATTACACTGATATTGTGCAGTATTTTTGCAGTATTTTTTGATGCAACTTTTCTACTTCTGTTATTTGCTGTTGTTTCTAAAGAAAATGCATAATGATATTACAGCTTTCATTTTCATTTTTACAGCTTTTGATTTATTTCAAACTTGAAACTTTGTTTAGCCTGTAAGGTGTACAATAAATAATAATAATGGAAAAATTTAACCGATTAATCGATTAATCGAATCGAATCGTGGTGTATTCTTGAGAATCGAAAATAATCGAATCGTTGGGTCAGGAAATCGATACTAAATCGAATCGCCATGATGGATGTGATTTACACCCCTAGTGCCAATTCATTACACATGTCACCTCAAGGCACTTTACAGTTCACGAGGTACCAGATATTTCTAGTAAAATGCTGTGTTGTATGTCTTCATTTAGAAACAATTAACAGTCTTATCTTTAGTGAATCGTTTGAATTTATCTCCAGTTCTTCAAAATGTTGCAACCAAAGACAAGACTTTCATAATTTTATAGAACTTAACTGTCGTTTATACGGAGCAGTCAGGAAATATTAAGGAATATTGAGGGGGGAAAAATCCCTCTCTTCTAAGTTGCAGATGCTAACCATAATCCCCATGACTGCAGTCTGTTTTGCATGCAAGTTTGATTCTTGGCTTTTAAATCTGATAAATATAGACTTAAAAACTGCACCACCAAGATCAGTTTTGCAGACATTATCCAGTTTGCCTGTACTTCTATACATGCACAACATTTGAAGATCAGATCCTAAGTGTATTGGTGACACCTAAGATGTCTCAGTTTTATTTGGGAGAAGAATATTTGGCTACTTACGGCCAACATGGAGTAAGATGGTATCGCGCCTTTCACCGTGCGGGTTCTGAAAGCAGCTGTAGAGTCCATTGTGGTCAAGGTCAACATTGGTCAGAATCAGCTTTGGACCATTCAGTTGGTGCTGTGCCTCAATGTCTGTTCCATTAACCTTCCATGACACTGATGCATCACTTTCCAGGGAGCCACATTGCATGGTGACATCGCTGCCCCTCTGCTCATATTGGTTCCTTGCAACTGAAAACAAGGAAATTAAATACATTAAGTACTGACATGACAAGAGCAATTAAAAACTGGTGATGGTCAATATATACTTTGTAGTTTTGGCTGTTTTGTAACTAATATTTAATAATAATTAAACCTCTAAGGGGTTAACTTGCAGCAGGATGAATTGTAATGGGATTTGTGAATTCACAAAGTGCAGAAAATACATCTTGCCAGAAGCCAGCAGATAGGGTTTGGCTTGGAAACAGAAATGTTTCGGACCAATTAAATGCAGTTACGTGTATGACGTCAATGCATTAACCAGAGGTGAAAAGCACTGCCAGTTTTAGCTGGAATAACCTCTATTTCTTTTTTTAAAATGAGCGCTATTTTTGCCTTTGTGGATAGGAAGATGATGACGTTCCTCCTGAACAGATTTGGTCTGCTACTGTAGTTGTAAAACAAATGAAGCTGCTATTGCTGCTGTAATGGTCTTAAAACTAGACATGGGAGAATTGTACTGAATGTCCCTCCCTTTTGCGAACAGTTTCTACAGGAGCCTTCCCAGATCAATACATGTAGTTCAATTTGAATTCTACACAGTGTCAGTTTGCCTTTTGCCAGGTTAGAGAAAGGACATGCTGACCCAGAGCTTTCTAAACAAAAACATCAGATTAAAGTAAATGTTGTCCTCAGTGCAGGCCGAAGGTTGACCAATGAATAAACACAGTCATAGAGAAAATGCTTATTTCCCTCACTGAGCATTTTGCTTTTATTTCAATTTGAGAAAATGAGCAAATAGGAATTTCTTCTTTGGAAACATTTTCAGTGAATCTAAAAATGGTAAAGGAAAAGTCATTTTAGGAGAAATATAGCTGTGTTCAATTCATGTTTGACTGCACTTGGTAGGTATTACTTAGCATATGATTTATTAGAAAAAAAGGAAAATATGTAAAAAAAAAAATAAAAATAAAAAATAAAAGAAAAATCAACATTAAAATAATTCCAGAAACAGTGTTTGCTGCTTTTTTTTGTTCTGTTTGTTAAAGAGTTCACATTCAATTCCATTCAAGCCTTATCAGAAATAAAAGAATTACTGAAAAAGAAATGTTGTTCTTTTATCTTAGTATCAACTATCTTGCTTCTAAAGCCAAAAGAGCTTTGTCTGAAACCTTTTTAGGTCTGTGACCTTTAGGGTTAAGGGATTTCTGTGATCCTAATAGCAGTTTTGGCCGGTAAACCAGGGGTTAGCAGCCTGCTCCGCTGATAAGTCTCAAGGGACTTGTTGCGACCACAAGGAGTGAAGACCTCAGATTAACACTCAAGCACAGCAGATCAACAGCACAACAAGAAACAACAAAAACATATTGATCCACATCTCAGGAAGAAAAAAATGGATGGAGAAAATAAGAAAAAAGGTCTCCCCAGTTGGCCTCAAGTCAAATACTGTCATGATTCTTGTCTTATCTATATATCTTGCTACTTGCTTTTTTCTTGATGTGCCTTTATCCCCTTCTTTTTTTTCTTTACAATATCCCTCCATTTTTCCTACTAGAGCATGATTTCTCATGTCAGTCTATGACAAGGCTCCCACAGAAACACAGCTGAGTTAGATGTAAACACAGTTTCATGTTTATTTCATGTCCCATAACAGTATCATTTATTTTTAATTGAACAAGAACCTTGCCCCTATTAACATTAACCTAACACTGTTTGTTCTCTTTGTCTTGTACTGTCAATCACTCCTCCGCAGACATCATAACTCCCATTCTCTTATCTCTTTCCCTGCCATCCCATGCCATCTCACAATTTCTTGCTCTGTTCATCTCAGTTACCTTCCATGGTTGCCCTCCACATTTTCTGAAATAATGTGAACACATTTACGCACATTTGTGCCAAGAAATGCCAATTTCCTTTGATCTCGCTCTCTGTCAATTTACTCTGTGCAAGCCTGTGTGACTTTATTTACATAAAAACCTATTTGCATCTGAGTAAAAACCATACGGTTTCACTTTGATGTGAGCTTTGATGATGATGCCGGTGCCCTGCGGCTTTATGTGACAAGTATGAGAAGTGAAACTTGAGAAAAGTATTATTAAATCAACTGCTCCATCTAAGTGAGAGAAGATGTTCTTTGGAACTTTTATAATGTAGGAAAGATCCCTGCTCAAAATAACTCAGACCACTTTCACATGCCATTAAGATGGTATCAGAGTGCAAGTGTAAAATCAGAATCATCTTTAGAAGGATCTAGAATCAGGTTTCAAATAAAGAAAATGAAAAAAATCAGACAAAAAAAACCCCAGATGTATGAAGTTAGATCCTCTTTGCATATCTAAACAATATCCTGCATAGTTTAATTCTTTTTATATTTTGACATTCTCATTGGCTTCTTCCTAGTGCATCAAAAACCACACCCTCTTTTCCGCTTTTCAATTCCTATTGGTGGCTGTCTCACCCTCATCTTTTATCCTGTTTCCTTTCTTTCTTCCCCACCATCTGCTTCTTTCAAAGCCCTACTTCTCATTTTCCTTTCTAGCCTTCTCTATAGTCAACCTACTTATATTACGTAAACATAAAAGACTGAGATATGAGACAAAGCTTCTCTCAAATATCAAATATTAACAAGCAAGCTCAAAGTACTATAGTCTAACAAATTTCTGATTACTAGGAAGTTACTTTAATCGCAAAGAGAAAGTCCATTTACCCATCAAACTATTGAAGAACTGCCACTGAAAGTTTCATTGACATAGGTTATTACATGGCTTTACTTAAATAACTTTAACATCTCTTTTATCTACATGTGTCACTGTTAAATACATTATTTAAATCCAGGCTAAACAAGAGAGTATATATGGTAAAATCCTGTAGTTTGTTCATTGCAACTTAAAGAAGCCATGTGGATACAACTTATACAGAATTTATAAATACACATAAAAATCTCAATGAACATGAGCTTATCTTATCCTCTAATGTGAAAATTCAGCCTCCATAACAGTGAAGGAATAGGAACTAGGAACAGGAGAGTTGCTGTTAAAATTTAATATACTGTGTTTGAAGGTTTCTCGCCTTAACCAAACATTCTGACACACATCCAAATAGAAACATTAGCATAATTACCAGTAAGAGTGGCTGAAACAGAGGGCGAGTGCGCTATGATTTCTCAAAATCTTATAGCACTTCTCCAGAACTTTAGATAAATAAACAAATCAGATGGTAATGCAATTAAGCACCATAAATAAGTCAATTTTCTCCATTTGTAGGATTCAAATGTATATTTCTAAACTCATACTTGTTCTCTGACATTGAAGAAACTCATTCCATATTGACAGTGCTGAAACTTTAGAATCCCCCAGTAGTAGATCCCTGATCATCAGCATTCTGTACACACACAACTCATGCATAATAAACATGAAAGCAACAGTGGAAACACAGGCAGATACTTATGATTACACTCATGTACTCACTCACACATAAGAACGGTCCTCTGCATAATTCCCTCATTTCTCATGACCATGCAGACAAGCAGGCCTAATAACCATAATGACATTCAACTCAAGTGCTATTGATTTCTTGGTAATGGACTAGGCATTATGAGCAACATCAGAGGACTTTTATTTCTCCCAAAAATGCAAATGAAAATCAACAAAACCCTTTTTTTAAAACACTTTATTCTCCATATATATGTTGATGCCACAGTCATAATAGATAATAACATTATGTCCTTTAAAGGGACAAAGAATATGAAAACTCATGTTGTCTTCAAATGTAGATAAATTTTGTTCTAATATAGAAGCTAATTGGGAGGAACGGAGGAAAAATCTAAATATAGAATGGAAATTGGGCCAGAAAAAGGCAGCTGTAAATACTTTCCATTAGCATCTGAAAGTCATACACAATATGATTAAATATTGTTTGACAAATGGGAATACACTGTATTTCTTTTTGACAACTTGATCACCAACAATATTCTCCATGGGTTTGAAAGTTTCTCCAAGGTAGAAAAGTTTAATTTTCCATCCAATAAGACAATCTGTTTCATTAAGGCTACTGCAGTTCTTGGCAGGATTATTATGTTCCTCCAGAGAAGAGCAACGTAAAGAGTCAACATTATATCCTGTGTTGAGGTCACTGTTGCTAAACCTGCCCAAAGGGAAATCAAAGAATTCCGAGTGCACACTCCCACAAACGTACACCCCAAACACACGTTGTGGTTGGGGAACCACTGATTTAATGATAACAAATTGGCTCCATAGTTGTGGAAAACCCAAGCAACTCTGTCATAATACCAGTTGAGAAGTAGCTCCAGCAACAGCCAAGGAACCAATATGTCACGACTCTTCAAACAAGGATATGACACATTTATAATTTCAGTGGAACATTTTCTTTCATCAAATAAAAAAAATTTAATTAAAAAAACAAGCAAATAAATAATGGTCCAATAAAAACTGTAGCGATAAAAATATCAGGAAAGTACATATAGTGGGTTAAGCTTGATATATAGAGAGATTCAGTACAGTAGAAACGTTCTTTATGCAAATTGGCAGACAGGGAATACATCAAATTCATTCTATGTTGATCAGACGTTACAACCTTACATAAATTAGTAAGGAGTGAGGATATGTTAGCGAGGATGTTTGTAAGTGACTGCTTGATTAGCTGATTAAAAACAAAATTACCTGTTGAATAAAACACAAACCATTTGGCATGGCATTTTTTGGTTTGTGTCATATCAGCAAATCTTTCAAAACTTTAAATCAATGTCATTAACCTGAAATCATAATAAAACATTTAATAAATCAAAAATATATAGCTATGTGTACATTTCTTCTCATTCAATAATCCAAACACTGTTGGTAATACTATGTTATACTACTACTATTGTAAAACATATGAGGAAAAGCAACATATTTGCAAATGACATATTTACACATCAGAAATGATACTACACCAACACTGATTGCATGCATCCACACAGTTGACCAGGGTGACATCCTCATAGACTCGTGCAGAGATGCATCCAGAGAGCACAC